TATTAGAGACGATAGTCTTTCTTGGGGACCTTCGACAGAAAAATTTTGGTCTGTCTGTACATTTGTCTGTTTGTCCACCCTAACGATACCTCAAACGGTTAACTCTATCCACAGCCCCCATCAATATTGCTCAAGGTTTTAGCGTTCATAGTTGTGCGACTTTCAATTAAAAAAAGCAAATATTGCACACATCTGAGGCGCCATAACAACATGTCTGTTTTGTATGCCTGCCTTTATCGTAGCTACTGACTACCTCACACGCTATGCCGAAACAAAGGCCCTCCCCAAGCGCAGTGCCTTCGAGGTAGCAAGGTTCTTCGTCGAGAACATTGTTCTGCGTCACGGAGCTTCGCAGGTCCTCATTACTAATAGAGGTACAGCCTTTACGGCGGACCTAACTCAGGCGATCCTGAGGTACAGCCAGACAAGTCACCACCGCACCACCGCCTACCATCCATAGAGCAATGGCCTCACCGTACATCTTTATAAGGCCATTGCTGATATGCTGGCTATGTAGGTCGACGTCGAGCACAAGACGTGGGATGAAATCCTTCCGTAAGTGAACCTCCGCGTACAATACGGCCGTCCAAGAAACGACGCAGATGACGCCGTACAAGTTGGTCTATGGAAGGAGCCAGCCCGGCAACGACTCTATGCTTCCAAACGTCGCTGACGAAGAGAACCTCAACGTCACCACCTACCTTCAGCGCGCAGAAGAAGCTCGTGCACTCGTCCGCCTGCGCATCAAGGATCAGCAGGCGATCGACAGCCACCGTTACAATCTTCGATGAAGCTTCGTTGAGTAGCAGTCCGGGGACCGTGTCTGGGGTATGGACGCCAATACGCCGCGTGGGCTCAGTGAAAAACTTCTGTGACGGTACTTCAGACCATACAGAGTAGTTCGTCATCTCTGCACACTCAACTACGAGGTTGTTCCCGACGGCATTACGAACTCTCAACAGCGCCATGCTCGACCTGAAGTCGTCCATGTCGTGCGCCTCAAACCATTTCATGCGCGAACTTGAGGACTGTATTTTGTTGTTGTTGCTGTACATTGTTTATTGTCTTTATTATTGTACCTTTGTCTTTTGTTAAAACATCGGGACGATGCCTTTTTCAGAGGGGGGCAATGCCATGTTACTTTCCTCAAGTTTTGTTATCACGTTCAGCGCAAACTGTGCCTACAATGCTCGAGAAACTTTGAGGCTTTAGTAGATCGTTTTGTTAAGATTACGTCCACTTCGAGAACATTACAGATTATTCGGGAACCAACGTCACCACTAGCGATAACGCTAGAATATTCGATGGCAAGGGTCACGCTGACACGCTTTGCCGCTTGTCAGTTGATCAACGCTCCGTTCGCCGGGATCAGTGCAAGACTGCTAATGTAATCAGACTTTCTGTTTACTTGGCACAGGTTCGCCCAAATAAAGTTTATTATTCGACTCACTCGCAGTGTGCTCTATTCGTCCGCGTCACGACCCCGTGACGACATATATTTTCAAGGTTGCATGGCATTGTAAATCTTGCATGTGTTATTTACATAAGCATTTTATTATGGTGCTCCTTCGACATTTATTGTGTAATGATTGATATGTGGGGTTTAACGTCCCAAAACCACTATATGATTATGAGAGATGCCGTAGTGGAGGGCTCCGGAGATTTCGACCACCTGGGGTTCTTTAACGTGTGCCCAAATCCGAGCACACGGGCCTACACCATTTCCGCTTCCATCGGAAATGCAGCCGCCGCAGCCGGGATTCGAACCCGTGACCTGCAGGTCAGCAGCCGAGTGCCTTAGCCACTAGACCACCGACATTTATTGTGTAAGCCAGGCCAAGTCGAATACTGCCGATTTTTTAATTCAAGTACATGTGTTTAAGATAAAGTTTGGCATATCTTTGAGTCAGTCCGCTTCAGGAAAATTTTGGCCAGTCTGACTCTGAGTGAGTCCAGTTGGCAAAAATTTTAGCGAGTCTGAGCCTGGCTGAGTTATATTTTCATTACATTTTCGTAAGTCTGAGTGAGCCTCGCTGAGCAATATTTTTCTGAGTCTGAGTGAGTCCAGCTAAGTTATATTTTGGTGATTCCGAGTTCGAGTGAGTTTGCTTGAGAAAAATTTTGGCGAGTTGGAGTGAGTCTGCTTGAGCAAAAGTTTAGTGAATATGACTCTGAGTGAGTATGCCTCAACAAAATTTTGGCGAGCCTGAGTTCGGGTGAGTCCTAAGCGAAAAATATATTTATTAAGTGAGTCTGAGTGAGTTCCATTTAGTTTGCTGCCCTATGCCTGCACAAACAACGCATCCACAACACTCGAATTTTCTGTTAGTCATGAAGCTGCAGTCTCAGTCCTCATTTTCAGTTATTACTAGAGGAAGACAGCAGTTTTAGCATACTAAATAGTGGGCAAAAGTGAAGTTTTCAGAAGAATCATGTTCATCTGGCTGTCAGTATAGTGTCGTAGTCTCGGTAAAGCTTTGGCTGCCTGCAGGTCACAATAGGGATTAAAAGAAGAATAACCTTTAGCTGTTACAAAGTTATGAAGTTTTTGTGATTCTCCCATCGGTGCTGATTAGTATTTGCAAACTACATGAAAAAATGCACAATATTTAAAACATGTTCGATTCGGGTGGCGAACTTAATATAGCACTATTGATTCGTTATTTGAAATTTTCAAGTATTTGCACACCCTTAAAGTTTGCTCATTTTTTTTTACACAAGATTTTTTTTTTTACAGAATCAAAGCGATTAGGAAAAAAATGTTTTTTTGTAAATGCACGAGTGCATTTGCCTCTCCACAGCAACACTCATATGTTCTGCATATCAGTAAACCTAACTGTTTTTTGTGTGCTAAACTTTTACAAAAACAATTCACTTAGGTTTGACACCAACCTTCATCCATTTTCTTTTCTATTTTTAGTTCAATTTCTATAGTTACTTTATTAGCCCTGAAAAGAAGGTATTTTGCGAAAAATTCAATATTTACTTCTTTGTGAAAGCACAGTGAACACTGTCTGGCCGAAAGTAATATTTAAAGAAATCTTGCAGTGCTGTCACACACTTTTCTTCTGTGTGCTACTACTGTCTAAAGAAAATAAATGAAAATAATATACTGCGGGATGTTACATGCCAAAACTATCATTTAATTATAAGGCATGCCACAGTGGAGGACACTCAAGATTAATTGTGTGGTTCTTTAACATGCACCTAAATAAATGTACGTTTTTAAAATTTTTTTTACATGTCACCCCCACTGAGAAGAAAAATTACGTGAATAGCAATAGTTTTGCTTATATGTAATATTAGGGCCAAATATAAAATAAATTGAAGCAAATAATGTTGGAGGTAAGAGGGACTCCTTGCAACGTTCAAAACCCTTTACTACTCTTTGTTGACATTCTCACTTCATAAAAATAATATGCTGTATCTTTAGAAGCACACTAAAAATGTGAAAAACAATTATTTTTTCACCACAATAAGCTGCCACTAAAGGTACGGTATGTCCTGCCATGAGCTTATACGCTGTAAATTGAGGCACACAGATGAGTGTAGATAATGCATAGATTATATGTGTACCTCAAGTTCACTGGCCCCCTCCCCAATAAAAAAAAGCACTGCAAATAGGACAAGAAAAGATCGAACTATGCTTTGATAGTCTGGTACTTATACTCCACACTTTTCTTGCTTCACTTTTTGAACTACCGTGCAGCCAGGATATGACATTTTAACCCCTGTTCATGTTGAAGACTACAAGCAATAAAGAGGAATGTAATCATTTTACTGCAAGATGCATAGCACAAACCATGGCCTCCCCCCAGGAGAATGCAACTAGCCCCACCTTATTATGGTCTAGTACCCCTAATCATCCTTTGTGGTAGGCCCAGTCCCTATGTAGCTATAAAAGAGATCTTGAGGTCATGGCTTTGATCCTGCCATGGCAGCCACACTCCAGACTGTGAAAGGCAAGAACTAGAGCAGTGCGAAAAGCACAATTTTGGGTGTGAACTTTAATGTTGAAATGTGAGTGCAAATGGAATAAAATATTTTTTGTATACTTCGAAGTGAAATTGCTATAAAAAAAGTTGGAGAAGATTCCTAAACATAGTCTAATGAGATATAGCAACATGAAAGTGTTTCTTTTCGCTACACAGATGAGGCACTGGCAGGGTGGTGTTCCATGGTTGTCTTATCAAGAATGGGGCAATGCAGAGCCCAAATTGTATTTATGTGCATCCTTTGGTGCAGCCAAAGTGCTGCCAACAACACTTTACGTGTGAAAGACCAAGATGATATTTTCTCAGCCTCTCCTCCTCTTTCTACTAGTGTTCTCCGATTTCAGGTCTAAAACAACATTAATTCAACCCCCACCTCTGCCGCTTTTATCATCTCTATGATGAAACCAGTGTTTTTTTTAAGGCAATACATTTGTGACTGTAGCAGAGCCTCTAAGGCAGCTTTGCCGCAATACGGAAGTGTGATGTGGTGATGCACACTAAAAGAGTAGGGCCACAGCCAATTTGACGTTGACAGTGGTTGTCTTTGGGAAGTTAGAATTTCAGTGCGAATCGAATAGCAAGCACTATAAAAAAATATTCAATATTTTGAATATTTGCACACACCTAGTGAGAACACTTGTGAACTTAGAGGTGCACATCAAAGAAATAATAACTAAAATTGATCTGGAGTACTCTAATACTGAATGCCTCATGTTAAGTTACATTTTCATAACATATCAAAGCACTTTTAAATTTTGAACCCTACTTGAGATTATCATTCAGAAGTCATGCAGGAAATATCCCATCTTGCATAGCCAACCATGATCCTGGCATTTCTGTGTAGTGTCTGACAAACAGGATATAGTTCCTAATTGATAATAATAGTATAGCACCTTGAATCATTTCAGTAGTTCAAACAAGCAAGCTATTCTGCTTTTAAAAATGAGATAATTAGCTTAGTCAAAGGAGATGCCTTGGAACTGTATTAAATTCACTTCTAATTTTTAACATTAGCATTTAATCCACCGACATACCAAAAATAAAATACAGCAAATAATCAATACATAACTTTCCATGGACACGTGGATCCACCACCAGAGAAATGAAAGTGCGTGGCACCAGCTGTACACTGCTGCTAAATGCTTCCACCACAGAAAAGAGGCCACGTTTCTTCAGACAGTAGATTTTGGCATACATTTCAGAGCTTTCTCCACCACGCAATAAGCAGCAATTATTGGATTTTCCCTATATTCAGAGCACCAACATTTCCGGCCGGGGCCCATAAGTTGCTAGGAGGCACAGTGTTGCTTCACCTTTTATGCACACATGCCTTTTTATTGCAGAAACGTAAATTAAAGTGTTACTAAATACTAACTCTGAAAGATTTCAGCACAAATTACAAGGTACTCGACATATCTGATACTTGAAAGTGGCACAAAGTGCCGTTTATTTACTAACAGTACAAAAGGACAAACAGATGGGCTAGTTGGTACGGAATCATGTGCATTGCATGAGTTTTTTTTTTTTCGTGCTGCAGTGTACTTGATTACAAACAGTAGTTCATCAATACAGCAGATTATATTTTTTCCTTACACTTTGGTCTCTCAAGATCTGGACTGTCTGGTAAATGCAACTCCCCATCACTTTGCATCACCAATGCTTTGAGTACAGCAATAGATCTTTAAGGTAGGCAAACCGACTGCAGCCTCGACTATGATCCCATCAGGCACAGTTAAGTGCAATTGTTACTGTGGAATGAGTGAGCAGAACATCAATGTACAAAAAGCAGCCGATATCAGCAACGTGTTCACGACGATACGCATAGAAACCGCAGATAAATTTTAGGAAACAATAGAGGGGATAAGAGTAGCTGTGGATCATACCAAGTTACATTCAATTGCACTGCAGTTTGGAATTCAATACAACCAGGTATTCTAGGCCAGCCATCACACACAATTCACTTTGAAAACACTGAAAAAGATTTAAGAATAGCTGACCTCCAGCACCTCTTTGTTCAAATTTACTATATATTATCACATTTTTACAAGAACCAGTAGAAGAAAAAGAGAGAAAATAATGGCATTGCACAAAATGGGCTTTGTTGGCTCACAATAATATATGAAGGCACAACATGCGACACAAGGTATGACAAGGCAGGTGCTCCCAGTTATATGTATACCAAGCTGTCTTAATGTTTGATACTCAATGGCTAGAAAGCTATGTAAAAGAAGACAGTGAGCCCGATAGCATGCAGACCTGGGAAGTTGCCTACATTATCAATAATGTAAGCACATAGATGTCATTAACACTCCGATCCTGCTTTACAATGTAAAGGTGTTTAAAGTTTTCCGAAAAGCACCAATGTATTTATACAGATGCACATCACAAAACAATATACAAAATAAAATGTATGTGCCTATTATGTTAAGAGTAAATACCTAGATATTGTAAAAAGCCTCACTGTTGACAAGGAGCTATCCCATGTCTTCTTTTGTGTAAGCTAGTTGTACCAATACTTTAGGATATGACATCACGTCATGTTCAAATGAACTTGGCATCGGCTCCAAACGACCAACTGTCCCAGCTTGCAGCTATTGCCGTGCCCAGAACTATTATCCAATGCCATTAAATAACCAATGTGTGTGATTACTACCAACAATGCAAATTTCAGACAAATGCTTTACATTTGTGCAAAAAAAATGATTCAAATCGAATCATTAAGGAACAACACAGTACATGTGCAGTAGTGGCTTCCTCCAATCCCAAACACCTATATCGAAAGGAAATGCAGCATCCAGCCACGTGACACAATCCTTTTGTGCACTTTGGTTTTTACCTCCAGTTATAATTTACTCAAACTGAGTGAGTAGTGCCATCATGGACACACCAAGCAGCAGTGCAAATATCTCCTTGACTGACTGCCACAGCCGCGTGTTCTCCAGCAGTTCAGGAATGACTGAGACAGTGGCAATGTAGATAAACCCGCCTGCTGTGAAAGGTAGCACCCATAGATTGGCACTGCTGCTAACCCCATCAGCAATAAGACTGCACAGCGTGCCACTAAGGCATCCCACTGCTGTCACCAGCTGCATGCACATAGCCTGCAAAATAGGAAGTCAACATAGTTTAGGCTCGCACTCTGTATAACTGTAGTAAAAGTACCGTAACGATTCGGTGCTTCCACAGAAGACGTGACTTGAGAAAAAGAAATGCACGTCCATTAGGCAGATTATCGAAGTGTGTGTTGTCTCATTGTTTAACAGTTTCGATTTTTACAAAACAAGTATTGTCGGACATTATCATTCAATGTCAATAATTTTTTTATTAGTTCATAAACGCTCTTACCAGTCAAAGAGTAACTTCTATTTGACTGGAGCACTTAGAAAATTAAAAACAATGGGGGAAGCAGTTTAACTAACTGCAGGGTTGTTGGATTGTAGTATTCTTGCAACATACTGTATGTTCAAAATAATCTCATCAAGAATTAAAAAAAAATAACAAAATGGTTTAAAAGAATGGCATCAACTAATTGTCATTGTACAAGCTAACGTGAGCACTTTTACTGCACAAATATTTAACTATAAATAGCTAAGTTAATCAACTTAATAAATAATAAAATAAAGTACTTAATAAATAAAGTACTAAGGTGGAACGAAGTCATGGGCAATGTTAATGACCAATAAAAGTGTTTTAAAGGGACAATAAATAACGAAACGATTTTTCATGTATTAGTAACGTACGATTCCACAACTCTGAAAACACCACTCTCATCACGACATGGCGCTTGGTGAGAGAGGAAACATGCGAAAAAGAAATGCGGGTGGAGACGCCACCATGAGATGCCCGCACCAAACACCATGACGTAAATTCAAAGGCGTCTACTGGGCCCTATACAGCCTCTATTTGCTAAACATTAAGTACATTGTTATCTATGGGTGCCATAGACCTAGCATACTAAGTTTCGGAAAATTTAATCAAGTCAATGTCACAAAAATACGAGAAATACAATTTGAAATTTGTTATGCCATGCATGAAGATTTCAGTGCTATATTTTTAAATGAAACTTCAACCTTGATTTTTCTCCACAAATAATGAGCTTATGACAGTGAAACATATGGCATTAGAGTTCTCAGAGTGCAGTTTATCAATGTAAACAAAGTCAACTGTTACTCCTTAGTGTCCCTCTGAAACAACTCAGGCCTTCATATAGCCCTGCATAGATAGAAAAAAAGCTCCCAAGTATTATTTTTTTTTCATACTAGCCTAGCAGCACTTCTAAACATAAACATGGGTTTTGCATATCACGCTGTAAACAATGGTCACACTTTGTATACAACATATCAGCAGTCCATGACATGCATCTTTAGCCACTATTGTACATGCAGCATCCACCTTTGAAGTGCACGAAATGCGTGATGCGCCACATGATGAGATTTACATTTTGGACTGCTAATACCAATGAAGTACAGACGCATTGTCACGTGCTATTAAAAAAAAATTGCAATGTGCTTTTCCTTATTATTTTTTCAGAAAAGAGAACACAAAGCCTAAATTGGTTTAAATTATGTTATCGGTCACTTCTTGACATTCTTCACAACTCTGGTATTAATACCTTATTACAGACATAAGTTAACTAAAGATTAGCTATTTAAACTTAACTTATAATTCGATCAAAATTAGAAAAGCACCCATGACTAGTCTAAACAATGTACATCAAATATAGTAAATACCATTACTATAAGCTAACCAACTTTTATTTCTTAAGAACATTTAGCTGCAGGAGCAAACCAAAGTGGGATGTGCATGCATGTGTGTGTGACAATCACTAACGAAATCAATTTTTATTATTTTCAGGTGATTTTACTGTTTACACATCTCTGTTAGATGCTGCAAGCAGTATATCTATATACAAGGACAATTAAGTGTTCTTGCTTGATTTGGATTGCAAAGAAGAAGAAACATTGTCTGGTTGAATCAACATAATGATCTGCAGTGGTGGGCTAGTGGTAAAGCATCTGTACCGTATGTTGGAGGTACTGAGTTCAAGTCTAAGTTCCATTAGAAACAGACCAGCTTTTCTGGGTAATGATGCTGCCATGCTTTGAGCTCGACTATTTTTAAGAATTTGCATCCCTAATAATTTTTAGGCATGATTTCCGGGTATGCCTTGTTCAGCTACGCTTTCCCCTGGTGGGAAAAGTGTACAACCGTAGAGCATTACAACTACAACGTCGCCGCTCCCTTTGGTTCCCAAGTATTTGTGAAGCATGCGCTGCACGTGAAATACCCCTCATTCTGGGATGTTACCACAACAAAGAGGAGGGAATCACTGCTGCGTCGTCAACTGCCACAATAGCCTTGCAAACACGAAGGGGTCAACTCCACCAGTGAAGTTGTACTGATTCCCAAACAGATGGCACAAAAAAAGCAGACAACAGGCATAGATCATAGCAGTGCGCAAAAAAAGGTAAATTTTTTAATACAATTGAGCATGTTTCTGATGCACTGAACTTAATAGGAGTTCATTCCTGTGTCACCACTCCTCTATATATCAAGTTATAGGTATACGTCTGCATTGTACATGTAAATTACCATAATACTTCCAACTTCTATCTTTTGAGTTAAAAGTTGGGAAGATATATTTTTACAGGGCTACTATTATTCAATATTGTGGGGGACATGGTAGTTGAAGTTTTGTACACGTGGTATTTGTAATACGTGGCTAAATATATTTTATGCCTACGCAGCGCTGATGGAAGTGAGTGGTTGCCAAAAGTTTTGAGAATGATTGGTAGCAGACGACATTTTGTTGGACACTACAAAAATGACTCATGCCAGCACCCTTCTTATTGATTCCTGAATTCACGCTCCAAAGAAGTTTGTTCCGCGCATGCGCAATTATCAAGTAAAGCTAGAATAGAAGGGTATTAATTAAACGTGACGTTTGAAGGGTAAGATTGGAACGTGGTTAGTAACAAGCACATTTGTCTATGCAACAAGCGCCCATCCTGTCTATGTGTTTTCTTTGTTTGCAGTGTTATTGTGATTTTGGCGTGAAATCGACAACTGAATTGAGACATGAACCAACTAGCCCAACAGAGAGTACAACAAGCGCATCACTCTTTGCGTACCTTTCATTGAACATAATATTGATTCAAGCAGTGCACAATGCAAAATTTTTTATTTAAGTAAACTTTTATACGTATCTATCTCCACGTAGTTCTTGTATGAAATACTTCTGTGCTACCAGATGGTCACAACTGCTAGTGTTTTTTTATGGGCATTTTGCTATCACACATGTTTTGATAGAGTTTGATTACGGTGTCGCCTGTTATCACTAGCTCCGCATTTGCTACATGGCTAAGCAGATGCTGAACTTTCACCAAATTGTTGCCACTATAAAAAATCTTCCGAAATGCGGACAGAAGTGTGGACATCCTAACCATGCGCGATGCGAAACTCGCAAAAACACATGCAGAATGTGTGCAGCATGCCAGCAAAGCAACGCATTTTCAGGGCAGTTGGAAGGCGAAAGTGAAGAGGTGAACACTCGATGACGATGATGATATGTGAGGTTTAACGTCTCAAAACCACCATATGATTATGAGAGACGCCGTAGTGGAGGGCTCCAGAAATTTTGACCACTTGGGGTTCTTCAACGTGCACTCAAATCTGAGCACACGGGCCTACAACATTTCCACCTCCATCAGAAATGCAGCCGCCACAGCTGGGATTCGATCCCGCGACCTGCGGGCCAGCAGCCAAGTACCTTAGCCACTAGACCATTGCAGCGGGGCCAGAGGTGAACACTCGAATAATGACGTTATTGCTCACATTCACAGGCAGCGCCCTCCATGGCTTGGGTCTCCTCTATGCAGAACATCAAGAGCAGCTGTACAAGGCAGCCTGCTACAACAAGCCTAACAGCTAACATACCTACCGGTGGGAGTGTATCTGTAAGCACATTCGAAACCCAATGCTCAGCAAGCATGAAACCTAAATGCTTGAAATGTAGCATATATTCCCAACCAGATGCGCCTACTTAATAGATGCTTCGACAGCGCAAGGTGCTGAAGTAGAAGCGGCAGCATTTCCAAATATTTATTTCCTTGCCACAACAGCAAAGCAAATTGCATTTCTATATGAAAGTGATAATGATGATTTATTAGTATACCCTCAATACCCAGAGGGCATAGCAGATGAGATGGGCGCAATATAAGTACCAAATACATAACAACTATGCTAAGACACAAAGATAAAAAGCAGCTGCATCATAGACTGATGATGATTTGTGGGTTTCCATGGCCTAGGGACCTCATTTTTGACCAAAGAGCACCGGAAACATGGTATTGAGTTGACAGTGGTCGAGAAGTGGCATGAGCAGATTTATCATGGCTCAAAGCCCAAAAAGCTAGAAGGAAAATTTTCATTTTCTTCCCCCCCCCCCCCCCCATTCTCGTATGGACACTGAGAACAATGTAGTGCGCTCTCGTGAGCGGCCGGCACTAAAGACAGTGTGCATGAAAGAAATAAAATCAATGCATCATTAAATATTGAAAGTTGCATGCTCCTTGCAATAAAGAACCAGACAACAGGTATTTTCCTTACTTTGCGTTTGCTGTAGCCCGACTGCACCAGGATTGCAAAATCTCCAATTTCATGAGGAACCTCATGCAGAAGGATCGTCACTGTCGATATAAAGCCTGCTGTATTGCCAGCAATATACGATGCACCAATCGCCAGGCCATCCGTGAAATTGTGAGTAAAGTCAGCAGCCAAGTTCAAATAGGCAGCTACTTTGATATCTGATGCCCGTTTCTCTGGAGAGGACAAAAGTAGCAGTTAGCTGCAACACGTTAATCCATTTAGCTTGCTAGTCGGTACCGACTGAACGCTTTCATAACACTAGCAAATGCACATGAAGCTACACATAACTGTCCATTGTTATTGTGTGTAGTCTTCGTGTGTGTACGCTAATTTTTGTGTAAGCATTCAGGTAAAACACATCTGCAAATGCTTAACCAATAGAGTAAAAGCTTGTTGATTCAGATTTCATGAGCCGGAAAGAAATGTCTGAATTAACCAAGTGCCGAATAATCAAAAGTGTCAAGAAAACGAACACATGTCTAATACATCAATGCATTTTCATTTTCTTAATGAGCATGTCTATCCAGTACTGCTTTTGTGTAAAATCTGTGATTTTTTTTTCATTACAGACTGTTCGCAATGCAACTGTCTCTCAAGGCCACTGTGTATTATGCCAAAACGTGCACTGAACCCAACCTTTATTACATACCGCCACCAGCAACACAACCATGTGCATGTAACGACAATTTTTTTGCCGAAAAAATTCCACCTTCAGCAGCTTCCAACATGTTTTAATTTTGTGACACGGCAAGCAGACTGCTTAAAGTCAAAGCGAAGCTACTAAGTGTCACATCCACTGTGGTAAAAACCATCGTTGCCGAAGACACGATTACAGTGTCCATGCAGTTCTGAAGGCACGCGCACGGCTTATGTCCACAGTAAAACCAAACTGCTGAGCCCTGCTGCTGCTGAATAAACATGGCTCGCTTATACACTATTATGAATGGCAACCATGCCTTTCTGCCTGCCACCACAATGGTTATTAGCAAATGCAGTTTTCACTCCTTTGCGTCACACATTTGTGGTGTTTTGTGCTTGGCGTATTCCTAGGATCGTCATAAATAACTAAGTTGCAGCTAAATATGACCAAATTAGCAAGCGTTTAATGATTAAACAATACATATGTTTACCAAGAGCAAAGAACACGTCCGAATGATCCCATTTATTCGAATTAATGGAGGTCGAATCAACAAGCTTTCACTGTAATTCATTGAACTCCATACATAATACAAATACCTTACAGAAACAGTGATAAAGCTTGGAAAATAATACGTTTTATGCCAATAATAATTTCCTGTCGCCATGAGACTGCGAGCTGTTTTTTTTTATTGCCCTAGCACTGGCCAACCTTGTCATGTGCTAACCCGACAGTCTTCAGAAAAGGGTCCACATGCCTTTATTTAAACATTATCCATGTTGTTATTTTTATCATTCAGTGCTGAATGAACAAATTTAGATTTCTCGGGCACTGACTCGCGCTCTTTAACGGTCTTAATATAGCATAAATTAGCAGTGTCAAAGCTACACACCGACTCAATAGCTATGTACTTGTAAGGAATACTTCAAAACTATACTTAAAAGACAAGAACTAAAGGTGTAATAGTCGGCAGCGAAATTTCTTTCGATCTATCTGACGCACATTCTCTCATTACTTGAGATGTGCATATGGCACAGAAATATGGCACAATATGGCATATTGCCACAGCAATATGGCACAAACACGGGCTCAGAATACTCACCATCATCGGCAGTGCTTTTTTCCATTGTCGCGCTGTCTTGTTTGGTCTTCTTTCTGTGCACAAGTGCGGCGGACGCCTCCTTATTCTCCGTGCCAATGGACTCTCCGTCACATTTTCCAGTGGGCTTTGCGTCAGCTTCAGCCGTTCCCGAAGGAACCCGATCGTCGGCACGAAGTTCTTCGTGAACATGTTCGCGGGTGTGTTGATGACTGTGGCCACCTTTGATGATGCGCACAAATTTTTCAACCATGAGGAAAGCGAGAATGCCAGCAAGCACCCACAAGCCGACGCTCATGTCATGAGGCCCGTGAGAATGGTCGTGCCCGTGGTGACTGTGAGAATGGCTGTGGGCATGACTGCTCCCAGAGCCGTGGCTATGACTATGACCTGAGTGCGCAGCACCGGAGTCGTCTTCACTGCTGTGTGGCATCAGCGCATGTGGAATGAGGTGGAGGAACGCATCGCCAAGCAGTCCTCCCGACGCGAAGCTGAGAAGAACCTTGAGCAACGACTCATGGCCGGAACGCGAGTCGATAGGAATGAAGAATAAGATGAGAAACGGTGCGACACTAATCAGCAGTGTGGAGCCCAGAGCACGACCCCACAAAAAAGCAGTCTCTTCGAATGATCGGATCGGTTTCTTCTTGGGAGCCTCCGACGCATGAGAAGACGATGCTACGTGTCCATGGGAGTGATGGTGTGCCTCGCTGCCAGCTGCAGCATCTGCTACGGGCGGCTCGTTGGCGGCGCGTGAGTACTTGAACGCAGCGGGTTCGTGAACGTGTTCGTGGTCATGCTCGTGGTCATTGTGGTAGTGCGCCCCTACTAGCCGTAGTTGTACATTGACTAGCGCGACAAGCGTTATTAACAATGCTTTTCTGCTTGGAGACATGCCTCTCGTTCGTGGATGCGTCTTAAGAAACTTGCAGAGCGCGTCCACTACAAAAGCATGCTATCTAAACTAGTTTACCAAAGGGAGACTTCTGAGCGCTCCTCGACTAAGCGGGTTTGGTAACCATAGCGGTAACTCTTTGCCGACGTGTTTTTAAATGAAGGTGGCCATCATAATCCCCCTGGCGGTGTTATATAATGCAGCAAAGTAAAAAAAAAATCATAGTTAATCAAAATATTACTGCAATAATATTTAATTGCCTTAAATTATTTATTTAGTACATGAATTGTTTATTCAAAACAGCGCCCCATATATTTTTTCATTGCGACGCTGCACAAAACAGAGTTTTTCAATATACACTAGAGAGAACTCTGGCGCTAGTGTCTATGGGAGCTGCAACACACGGCGCTTCAGCGAGCATGGGGATTTTGGGTAGAGGTGTGCGCCGAGGCGATTTCGACCGACGGCGGCGTGGGGGTCGTCCAGAGTCGGCGGCGGCGGCGTTGTCGGCGCACGCCGGTTTTTTCATCGGCGGCGGCGTGCGGCCAATTTTCGTCGGCGGCGGTGGCGTCGGCGGCGCAGAAACCAAAACTGAAAATTCAAAAGGCTCTTCTGCCACAGGTTACTGAATTCGTTGAAATTCAGGGATTTTCATCCAAATAGCATAAATGACACTACACAAATGTGTCGACATCCCGATGAATGCAAAGCGTTTTGTAAAATAGTTTTTATTTTGCCTTCATAAAAAAATAACGCGTATTTCAATCTATGTCCATGTTCTACCGTAAATGTGCTGCACTTAGCTTTTTTTTTTTTAATTTAAGATGCAGCAGTTCGTTGCTGTTGTTGGCTACGTCATACTTTATGAAACCTTCTTTCATTGAACAATGAGCAAGCAGTGACGCACGTCACTCATTTCGCTTTTTCCGAATCCGATCTTACTTTTACATTGTACGCTGCACAAAAGAAGAAGCACCTCTGCTTCGAGTTTTCTTGTTGCGATTGCATGAAACCACTTTTCTGAGTATCTGTCATGCTTTGAATGTAACTTTCCTTCAAACGAATCAAAATACCTTCTTTTCACAATGTGAGAATCTTTTATGCAGTGGTATAGGATGCGGAAGGAAACAAATCTGCGCATTTATTCAACTAGTTCTCAGCACGGTGTTCAATGGATGAAGTGTAGACATGGGCGTGGGCGAGGCGGGTGGTGCAACACGGACACTTGAACCCTTCAAGCTCCACCAGCACTTGCTACCCACTCTAGCGACACCAACACGACCCGCTCCCTCAGTCGTGATGCAAGTTGAACGAAGGGTTTGCATCCCCCCAAGACAAAAACCTGTCGATCGTCATATGTGCAGAGGAGAGCAAATGCAATATTTGCTCAGATACACAGCCCATACTGGTCACGAGCTGGGCGTCCGTTGACCACGCCTGCAGAGAACGTTGACTCCCCAACCCCTTGGTGTTTGGTCAGGGGAGGGGGACACCCCCTGCAAGTGGGCCCCATTAAAATTTCTCTTAAAAACGTCACAAATAAGAATGCTTGATAAGTATGTATAACACATTCAACTTTCCAATGCTTTTTTTTAATAGCGTGTACACGTGCTCGATACCCATCAGATGTGTGAGACAATCGAAATAGCAACTGCCACCTTCGACTTGTTCCGGAAAATAATCAATAGAAGAATGCAATTACGAGTGCTGGGAACCTATGTTCGTTTGTATATTTGATTTCTAGGCACGATTTAAATTCTTATATAAACAAAAATAAAACCTGCAACATATTAAAAAAAAGGCTGCCATTGCAAGATGTGTGTTGCAAGACGTGATTTTTCTAGGCTTACATCTCTGCAAGGCACATCTGGTGTCACAAACTTGCAAGTGTCCCCCCTTTTCCCCACGACATTTCCCGATCCCCCCCCCCCCCCACCTCTCTAATAATAAGGCACCAATGTAGGCCTCCGTGATTGCCTACTGGTGCGTGGCGGGCCATTCCGGTGGCTAGGACCAACAGTGCCGATTTCGACTTGCTTTATTGCAGGTGCTGAAGGATCAAGAAAAGGCCGATATTTGTAAATTTCTTGAGAGTTCAGTGATAGTTTCATTTTGAATATCGTGGATTATTGAACCTCACTTTGAGTGTAATCCTCCAATGAAAAAAAAAATGGTTTCATCCTGTGTCACTGCAGAGTCAGAAGCCATCACATGTGCAGGCATCATTAAGCTTATAAATAACATTGCTAAGATTCAGTACATTTGTACAAATAATTCTCGTTAATTGAACATTTTGAGTATAATCCTTGCTTGGGTTAGTATGTGTGAAACATAAAGTTGAGTTTTAAAGATTCTTCTTGTGGGTTTCTGCAGCAAAGACACATTGATTAAAACTGATGACTTCGGAGCCACGGCAGAGGTAGCATTCGTTATGTTTTTTTCGGTTACGGTAATGGTAATGCGTTACCTTTTTTACGTATTTATATAACGCGGAGCCGTGAAACGTTCCCCTTTTTCTTATTAGAGTAACGAGTGAGGTATTTAGTTACTTTTTGCTGTAACGAATACATCACTAAATAGACTTACACGAGTGATGTCGGCCCACACCGTTAGATGTTGTTGCGGTCTATAGGCTGGCTGTAAACATTACATGAATATATTCCTTTCACCCAGCACGTGATAGGGAAGGGTTGCTTGACCATTGAGGATCTCGACCTTTGAGAAATACACAACAGCTTCTTAATGATATGCATATCATCCCACCGAAGCGTGCACTTCGTTTCGTTAAAGTTTACAGTCAACGTGAGGGCTGTCGTCACGCCGTATGTTTTAAGTAGAAATTTAGCCTACTCAAAATACCCAAAGACGTCGATTCATCTTGCAACGCGTAGCCACCCGCTGACGGTTCTGTATGAAAATGGCATCCACAGTGAAACATGTTGCATCTGCTGAAATTTTATCGCAACATTATTATACTGCCACGCTCGCTTGTATTTTTATGTCACTGTCTTGCGCAAAGGCACTGCCGTAGTGGTTCAGTAGCAAAGGTACTCGGCTGCTGACCCGCAGGTCGCGGGATCAAGTCTCACCTGCGGCTGCTTTATTTTCGATAGAGGCGAAAATGCTGTAGGTACATGTGCTGCGATTTGGGTGCATGTTAAAGAACCCCAGGTTGCCAAAATTTCTGGAGTCCTTCAATATGCGGCATCTCTCATAATCATGTGGTGGTTTTGAAACGTTAAACACCGCATATTAATCAATTGCCTTGCGCAAAGGACGCTTGGCTGTCTGCGAAAACTCTAGATTATTTTAGAATCTTCTGATAAGCTTGAGACACCTACGATATGGATGCTACGTGTATAAACGGCGACGTACCTTCGCGCAGATCATATTACCAACGACCAATGCTCTGATTACCGCTATCTGTGTAAAGCACGAATTTCTAGTACTTTGCACTTTCCTATGCACATGTTCACTCAATAAAAAGTGTCGTCTTGAGCAAGCCACGTACCATCTTCTTTGACGTCGCAACCACGTGGCAATACCGTAAGTGAAATGAGAACGCTGAAATGTTCGATACAAAACAGTGAGATGGGGCGTAAGTGCACGCCCAAGTTTGATTTGAGATGCGTATACCACAAGCTATTTTCTTCTATATGATGCGGATTTGTTAAATTACTGGGAAGTTGAATGTCAAGAAAGGAAGAACACGAACTGGGAAAGAGACAGTGGAGACGAAAAGTGATAGGTATTGACGTAAAGTTTGATCGGTCATTCCACGCCAAACGTCCAAGGCGTTTTGGCGACTATCTCAGGTGTATTCGAAAAATGTCGGGCTGATTTACTCTATTGAAAGCAGTCTATTGCGAAAATGTTTTGCAGAGAAAAATGTTTTTAGTCACCTATATGTGACCAAAATTCCGGCAATAGGCTGGGCCCTATAACGAGTCCTAAGATAAAAGAACATTTGCTGGGTGAGTCTATGTGGGCTCCATTTATTTTGCCGACCTATTGTTCCGAATATTTAAAACCTCCCACGATGGCGTGCCTTGTTGTCGTATTGACGTTCCGGCTTGTAAAGCCGAAAATTTTATTTTGCAAATTATAAGACTGTTCATATCTCCCCCCTCCCCGGAACTCGTTCTAGGGTTGGTCCTCTGATAAAAACCAGTCTTATATCTTTAAAAAAAATGCTTGGATATCAACTATTCATAATTCTCGTTAAAGATGTGGAAATGAAATGGCCATCACTAAATGACTGATGAGGTGAAATATTAACATTAAAAAGCATAGTAAACGTGAATAAAAAGCTAATTCTACAAAAACAATGTAACCTGAACTAATGATGTCACCACACATCTAAAAGCTCATGCAATGTATATTGCATACCTGCAAGGTGCAGTTATTCGAGCGCTTTTTGCAGTGAAATTTGGTCATGGAGTTAATCCCGTTCACGGTGGTGCTATTTTTAAATTTAACGGTTGAATATCTAACGAAGCATTAGGAAATTCTTTGCGTGAAACCCGTATTTTTTTTTCGACGTAATTGAGGATTGTATACATTGTGCTAGCACGAAGTTTAATGCAGGTGATGTGTTTATAGAGTACACCGTTCGGTGACTGGGGTAAAATAGAAACAGCAATTTATGTTAATTCATGCTACAAAACTCACGTGACCTGCTCCCAAAGAACAGAAGAATGCATAACGAAGGGCGTTACTAACGAACGGAAGAATTAAATAATTATCGGTCTTTAATGTTGTTTCTGTAGTCCAATCTACAAACGTTCGTATTAAACGAGCATGACGGTACGAAGGCATGGAATTGGGTTCTGCAGCATGTTGTGACGCATAGTGCCACTTCAGGTCACCTTTATTACGTGACATTGGAATCCACACTGAGCTTGATCTATGATTATGTACCTAATCAACGGAGAATGAGTGCTAAGCTCCGGTTTCATTATTAATGTGGCTTCAAAGACGAGAAAGCAGCACGATTCGCAAGCAATCGAGCACCCGTTCTGTTTTTCTATTGCGCTGAACTGCTTGTGCCCTCAGATGCCACTTCAGTTTTTTCTTGAATAATTGTGGCGATTGGGAAAGTTGTGAGCGCCAAACAAGACGTTAACAAGAACGAGAGAGACAGGACGGAGGCTTGTGAACGTCGTGTGGAAC